CGAGAGATTGGCAGTGAATGAGGGGGTAGAGAGAGATTGACAGCTTTTTTAAAACAAGTGGATTTTTTTGCAAATTTACCTCAACCCTCTTTATCTGCTCAATGTTGGATGTGTGGTCTAGATTAGTCCACATCACTACCAAGGCCCATTGAGAAACTTAGTATCATGTTTCTCCATTTTTCTCATATATATTGTGTGTGTAACAGTGTAAGATGAAATACATAATCATAACTGCTATTATTTGATGTTGGTACGTTATTGTTGCTACTTCCAACCATGTGCTCCTCTGATGACCTGTGGTTCATTTCTGAATAAAGTTGCTTTTGCGGAAGTAGAACCACTAACAAAGTGATTATGCTAAGCACCTAAAACACATTTAGGTTATACCTATTGCACTGAATATGGACAACATGTCAGAGAGACATGCAAGAAGTTATGGGACTAAGGAGAAATCATCTAGCATTATATCATATACCAACTAGTTTTAATTTTTTACGCCAAAATCATCTAGCATAATAAGGGATAAGAGTTTTGCAGACCACCAGTAAAAAAAAGTTTGGTGAGATATTTGGACCTTTTCTAAAAATGCTTATACTATCTCATATGGTTGTTCTGTCCGGACCCATGTAGAGGGCCTATAGACTGAATTTGGAATAAATATGTTGGTAGAAAATAGACTGTGAACATCCTCTTATGGATTTTCTTTTTGAAGAAATTGTTTGGACAGTACTCTAGCGCGTACGTATGATCTGGGTAATGAATGCATTGAGTTGGGTGGCAACCTACATGAGAATGATCTAGATCTTTGAGCTATGTTGCCCAGAAGTCTCTACAATCTTAGAAGAGATTGTAACTGAGGTGTACACAGCTTATGGTTTCTTTTAGTTGACCATGACATGGACCATTTGTCATACTATAATAGGCTTTGTTAGGCTTGCAAGATTAAATATTTTAAGCAGTGAAAGTATTTAAAAAGAAAGTAAGAAATTGTATGATAAAATGTATATTGGTTTCAGCTCTTTATTGTTCTCAACACACTTTGAAGACACCCAAAAAAGCCCCAACTGATAGTTTGTAGCCATAAGAAGAGACTCGATTTTGAGAAAAATGCACAAAAGCTCGAATATGCATTTGGGTGTTGGACATTAACTTAGCATGGTTGGCCACCAAAGCAAACAAAAACATGGAAGGCTTTGAAATTCTTCTATCCGCGTTGACGGTAGTAGGCAAAATAAAGAAGCAAGAGACCTCTTTTCCGTGAGAAAATTTAACATTACCAGACCATCTTTTTTATTTCTGGTAAACGATATGACACACATTTATGTTAAAGATGTTAATATTTTTATCTTAACAAAGGCATGGTTTCATATAGGCTTTTATCCAAGGATACGTCTCGCTGTTTTGTTCCCACCAGGACAAAATTTTAGTCCAAATATCCATCTTGCAGCTACATTAAAATTTAATTGAAACATGCATCTGTTACATCACATTTATTAAAATGCTCTTTCAGTCATGAAAGAAGCTACACTTGAATTTAGATGAGTTCGTGTGAATCTGGACCTTTAATTAAACCTGAGATTTTCAATCCTGATTTTGGTTGAATCTTGTTAATCTCTTCAACCATAGCTATTTATGATCCTAGCTGCGAATTCCTTGCAGTTACCATCGTATCAGATTCCGGTTTTGGAACTCTTAAATGACTTAGGGCTAACAACCAGTAAGAGAATAGCACAGTAAATTGTTCTGATGGATCTTGTGGTGGTAGATTTAGTGAGAATTTCTGATCATCATTTCTACCATGTTCGGAAAGTAATTGATCTTTTTTTTTGTAAACTCTTATGTGAGAAAATGAAAGGGGAAATGAACTAATGGAATATGCAGAAAACATGAGGCCACTTTCATCCTTTTTTGTTACCTAAATACAGTTGGTGTAAGAAGGTTTCATCCAATTCCAACACCTTTCCAAGGGATCTTTCGAAAAGCCCAGGTTCACCATCTTCACGAGAAACAGAAGAAATCGTTTTTCCATCAAATTGTTGTAGAAGTTAACGTTGCATTAGGTCTAACCTTGGCTTAATTTTCTGGTAAATTGTCTGCTATGAATGTAAATCTGGGCGCTGTATCTCAACCATTTCAAGTGCAATGACCTGGAAGATGGGTCCGAAAACTCTGTAACCACAAAATTTGTATCTTTTTTAAAGAACTGACTTCGTTGGTATTTACATCTAGAGTCCAATTATTCCTTGGTCAGAATATTTGAGGTGAATCTGAATCCTACTTCTCTCATCTATATCTACTTGAAAAAGAGTTTGATGTGGCTATGTGGTAAGGAAGCTCTTGGGATAGGTCCTTAGAACTACAGTTTCACACAAAAATCTAACCAACCGGATCTTGGGTACCCTGCAAGATATCACCAACCATGTGAGCATCCTCCATAAATTAACTCTCCTGCTGTTCCCTTCGAGGTTTGTTAGGACTAAATGATAATCACTAAGTCATTTCGCTAAAAATTTTGTATAACTATTTTACTTGTTTAACAGGATGGATATTTATGAGGGCAACCGTGTTCAAGAAAACTCTAGAATGCTGCCAGATAGGTTAGTTTAATTAATACAAGAGAACTAAATCCCTCACTTAGCTTCAAACCTAAGTTGGTCAGCTGATTTAACTAATTGGAACAATTGGTACTTAGTCTTGGGAACATTGTGCATGGAGATCCCAGACACATTAATATAATCTCTGTATCTTCACCTAGATATCCTGTCCTCCAAATTGCATCACCCGTATGGATTTAGTTTGTTAGGTCTGTCCACACAGGAGAGAAGATGGTGAGAATTATATAGGCTCGGTAAAAGTTGGGTCAGACTTCTTACGTTAATTATGTTATATAATACTTTTATGAGTATACACACGGGCACGCGCCACATGTATATATATATATGATATACTATTATATATATTAATATATCATATATTATATATATATATATATATATATATATATACTATATATAGTATATATATATATTATGTAGTGTGTGTGACTAGTGTTGAGAAAATGGGTATGAGCGGTAGACGGTTTCATTTTTGGCCTAAATCTGCTAAATTAGCTGCACAAGAGATAGAGTGGTAGATTATTACAACCTTTATGATGTGACTAGCAATTTGGGCCTTTACGCACATGGCTATTTCTTTGCGTAGCCTCATTTAGTAAAATGAGTAACATTATACCATTATATATATTATATATATATTATATATGATATATATAATATATATATATATATTATATATATATATTATAAATATATAATGTACGTATGCATCATTTTAGTATATATCATATATATATAAGAAAAATGGGTATGCTTATACCAAGCACAAACTTGGTGTTTGGTAGTAAGATAACTCATTCTCATCCGCTCATTCAAATGTGAAAGATCACATTCACATGGGTTGGATAATTAAAGGGTTATTATTTTCAAGTGGAGACTATTTGAATGAGTGAATGGGAACGAGCCATGTCACTATCAAACACAAAGATATATATTATTGTGATCAATAGCCTTCATTATGAGATTACCGCTAAGTAAGACACTCTTAATTAGTATTGTTGATGTCAACTATCAAATATGAAATAATTTGCAGGTCTTTGGAGTGATTAAGGTCCTCTGACTGTTTCTGATGTA